AAACGGGAGACAATGGTGAATAATCATAATAGATTTGTAGAGTGGGGTAGGAAAATTGACAAGTCAGTTCAAGGTTATAAAAGGTGTCAGGTGAGTGGCTAGTACAAAGTGGTCTGTGTTAAATAGGAGATAGTAAGACTGCAATGGGATGTTCATAATGAGATAACGAATATTAATGAAACAGGTGGAGGCATATATTGAGAAAAGAGATAATATCACTAATAATAAGTCCGGATAGTATAAACGAAAAAATTCGATAGTATTGAGAGAATGTTTGCATGAAGGGCATAAATTATGACGAATAATAATAATAATAATTGTAATAATAAGCAAAGGAAAAAATAAGCCAAGAGGGTTAAGGGGAAGGAACACTCTTGGTGAGAAGAAGAATCATCAATCCAAGTTTGGTCACAGCTTGAACAGCGTCTGGACGTGTTCTTTTTGGATACAAAGTTCCGGTTTAGTCGATCTTATTGCAACAGCTTCAGCTATTTGTAGAAGACGTAAGCGAAATGTACGTGATAACGACTTCGGAATTCGGTGTATAACCCTGAAAGCTGTGTTGACATCCATATGGTGTCCAGTATCAAACAAGTGTGACAGGATCGAGCTTTTTATGCACTTAATTTCCCCTCTGCTGAACCAAGCTGGTAAATGTTCTCGAACCCGTAGACGAACCTGCCTAATCGTGCGCCCTATATAACTTGAACCACAGGAACAGTTGAAATGGTATATGCATGAAGAAGAGCTAAGATTAGGTAAAACATCTTTGAGTTGCTGGGTGAACATTGGACGGCTACTGAAGGATAGACACAGACGTGCAGAGTAGAAAGTTTTCTTGATCACCCTGGTTAAACGTTGCGATAGAATCTCCGCAGGAGTATCTCCCTTGAATTGGAGACGTAAAAACAGAGGCTTTTTCTCCACCGTTGTCAGTTCATGTTTACGGCTATTGTAACCTATGTTTGCTTTAATGAACTTCTCTGGATATCCGTTCTCACTTAGAATG